ATGTGAAATATTCAAATAAGTAAATCTATAGAGACAGAAAGCAGATTGTTGTTTGTCAGGGATTGGGGGAGAGAGGAGTAGCGAATGACTTGATTAGTGAGTATAGAGTTTTCTTTTTTTTTTTTTTTTAAAGATTTTATTTTTCCTTTTTCTCCCCAAAGCCCCCGGCTACATAGTTGTGTATTTTTAGTTGTGGGTGCTTCTAGTTGTGGCATGTGGGATGCCACCTCAGCATAGCCTGGTGAGTGGTGCCATGTCCTCCCCCAGGATCCGAACCTGCGAAACCCTGGGCCGCTAAAGTGGAGCTGGGGAACTTAACCACTCAGCCACGGGGCCAGCCCCTAGAGTTTTCCTTTGAAGTCATGAAAATGTTTTGGAACTAGATAGAGATGGTGGTTGCACAACAGTGTGAGTGTACTAAATGCCACTAAATTGTACACTTTAAAATGCTTAATTTTATGTTGTGTGAATTTCACCTCAATAAAAACAAAAAAAAGAATTTTTGTGAGAATTTCTATAAAAATCTACACCATGCCGGAAACATAGAAGGTACTCAATAATATGATTTTCCTTCTTTCTCACCCCTAGCCTATGCTTTAAAATGTGGTAGACATTATCCTTCCCTTCAAAGAATTTATGATCTGGTTGAAAAAGTAAGATTTAAAATGTTAATGAACAGTATAAATCAGCATATAACTAAGCACTAAATTGTACAGTATGAACTTAGTTTTGGAACAGGAAAATGAATGAGGACTCAATTAGGGAGGATATTGTAGAGAATATGAAAATTAACCTGGATCATGACGCGTAGACGGGGTTTGAATAGAAGAAAAGAGGCATTTCAGGTAAGAAGGACAACCTGCCCTAAGGCACAAGGAATAGAGGAGAGTTTATCAAGGTTCTCTGAGGAGACTGACTAGTCTACCTCAGATGGCATTCCAAGGTGAGTTGTGAGGAATGGAGATGATAGAGTTGAATTATGTTACAGAGAACCTTGAAAATCTGCTGAGCAACTCAGATCTGAAACAGCAGAAAACTTGGCCGTTGGAGATTTTAAAAGGGAAACGACATGATGCAATCTTAGTAATAAAGAATTGGTCTGATAAAATATGTTAAATGGAGGATCTGAGGCAGGAGGTGAAGTTAGGGAAGCAAGGTAGGAAGTCAGAAGGGTAACAGAAGAAGCCTGCGCTAGGATGGAAGCATTTGGGAGTCAGCAAAGGCCACTGATCAGAGATCTTTCTAAGAACAAAATTCACAAGACTTAGAGACAGACTGGGATTGCTAAGGCAGGTAATTTTTGACTAAATAGCAGGAACTTTCATTTTAATTATAATCTTGAGATGTATGTGGGCTCTGATAAAATGACAAAACACTTCTTTCACTTTTCCCCTCTCCTAAATCATAAAAGTTCTTTTAATAAAACTCTTATTTCCTTCCATAATAGTCATTCATTCAACAAGTATTTATTGAGCCTTTCCTATCCCAGACGGTATGCTGGTGATACAGTGATGGTTTCTGCCTTCATAGAGTTCTAGTTAAGGAGACAAGAATAAACAAGGAAAAAAAAAGAATAAATAACGTTGTGCCAGAATGTGCTGTGTGAGAAGAAAATAAATACAGGAATTACTATTTTTGATAAATTCTCTGAGAGAAACAAATAGCCCGCTAAAAAGAAATAATGGGGGATAAGGAAACCAACTTTAAAAGATCAGGGGAAGTCTCTCTGAGAAAATAATATTTAAGCTGAAACCTAATAATGAGAAAGAGACTCCCATGTGAACAGGCAAGGAAAGAGCATCACAATTAGTCAAAATAGCAGGTGGGGGGCCAGCCCCGTGGCTGAGTGGTTGAGTTGGCACACTCAGCTTTGGCAGCCCAGGGTTTCACTGGATCAGATCCTGGGCACAGACATGGCACCGCTCATCAAGCCATGCTGAGGCGGCATCCCACATGCCACAACTAGAAGGACCCACAACTAAAAATATGCAACTATGTACCGGGGGGCTTTGAGGAGAAAAAGGCAAAATAAAATCTTTAAAAAAAAAAATAGCAGTTGGGAAAGAAATGAAAAGACCAGCATAGCTGGGGCATAGAGTGACAGGGAAGTGATACGAGATGAGGAAGCAGTGGTAATCAGGGACCAGATCATCCAGAGCCTAGAGGGCCGTGGACAGGAGTTTTGATTTTATTCTAATACAGTGGGGAACTACTGGAGGGTTATTTTTTTTTTTTTTTTTGAGCCCTCAGCTAACATCTGCTGCCAAATCTCCTCTTTTTGCTGAGGAAGACTGGCCCTGAGCTAACATCTGTGCCCATCTTCCTCTCCTGTATATGTGGGACACCTACCACAGCATGGCTTGGCAAGTGGTGTCATGTCCGCACCTGGGATGCAAACCGGCGAACCCCAGGCCGCCGAAGTGGAACATGCACACTTAACCGCTGAGCCACCGGGCTGGCCCTGGAGAATTTGATGTAAAGGTGTGTTACGGCGGCCCTTTCTGTCATCAGACAGACAGGCACTGGTCATTCCATTCTAAGCGAGGGCTACCATAGGAATAGTAGGTGAAAAGATAGGTCCCTTTCTTTTTTACTACCTCTGCTTTGTTAGTGCTTATCTTGTGAGCTCCTTACTCCTCTCAGGTGACTGCCCTTTCCTATGTGAGGATGTGCTTAGAGAAACTCATATAAGTTTCTTTGTTCTTTATCTAATGTAAAAATAATTATCAGCCAACTTGTCTAGGACATTCAGACGTCTATTCTACACATATTCCTCATCTCAGTTGCCTACATAAAACATAGGAAACAGGAGATTTCTGTCCAGTTTTGATGCTCTATAGAATTCAAAGCCGGAGTTGAGGCCTTGAATGAGTATAGAACAGTCGCTTTCCTGATCTGGAGAAAATTAAATCGTTCATATGATCACAGGAGAATATTGGTATGGCTCTTTGACTTTTGTATAGAAATTAACTGAGTGGATCATTTTGTTTGCCTCAGTTGAAATTTAAATTTGAGCATACCTCTGATGTATCCAAAAATTTAATCCTTTGCCTCCAGATGTTGGGGCTTTGTCCCTAATTCCTATTTGGGGGGAAGCCTACAGAAAGAAAGCAGGAAAACTGTTTCTGTCCAACAGTAAATCTCTTCTTGATGTATTGAGATTTCATTGCTCCTCAGCTCCTTAATACCTTAGACTTGAAACTTTGGAAAAATCTTGGACTCCTTCCTGTCGCTATCCCACCACATCTAATCTTTTGACAGGTCTCGTACATACCTCCACTCTTTCCGTTCTCCCTGGTTCAGGCTTTCATCGCATCTTCCCAGCACCGTTGCGGTGAGGAGTCTCCTAGGTGTCACCAGTCTGACTCTTCCTTCTCCAGTGATCCTACACTAGCGTTAGATCCACTGAAATGGGTCAGCGAAGGAAGTGCAAACCACCTGCTCAGCCTGGCATTCAGACTGTCCTGACAGAAGTAGCCTATTTCATATATGTTTTATATATTTTTTCAATCATTCTATGATAGCTAAAATAATTTAAATTCTAAACTAAATATACTTTTCTTTATTTTTAAAAAATGTATGCACAATAATTGTGGGGAAAAAAATACTGAGAATATAGATGTTTGTTTCAGTTAACTGATGTAGTTTAGTTAATTGTTGGGTTGGACAGTGATTATTCCATGAGAGAAGAATCAATGATCTTGATGAAATATTTTCTTCTTTTGTCTTTGGGTAAAATAAACAATTTATTTTTAAGTTTTTTGATATAGCTAAAATTCATATTGAAAAATCCTTTTAAATGATTGTAATTAAAAATATCACCATTCGTCATCTCTTCACTTTTATTTTTGCATATTACCTTCTATATGCATATACTTTAAGTTGTAATCATAATATACATTCTGTTTTGTGTCTTATTTTGTTAAATTTAATATCATAAATATTTCCGTATTTCCATGATTCTGCAAAATCTTCAATATTTTGTATTTTAATGGCCATAAAATCTTTGGTAGGTGTGCCTTAGTATATTAAATCATCCTCACTAACACTATACATGCTGCAGATAACTTTGTGTGTGTATGTATGTTTGTTTCTTTTGAATTATTTCCTTAGAATAAATTCTCAGAAGTGAGATTTTGAAGTAAAAGTGGCATTGCTAACTTTTACTATTTCCCTAAAAGTTGGACATACATGTATAAGCCAAATATCTTTGTTTTGTTTGATTTTACAAGCAGTACAGGTACAAAGACATTAGGTGAAAGTTTGGTTTCTGCTTCCTTGGCTTCTTAACATATTGAAGACCCTTTAAACCATCAGAGCTCATAGAGGCTTTACTTCCCCTAATAATATACCTACTAGATAAGAGAAAAATACCATCATGAACTTAAAGAAATTACTGTTTTCATTGATATTGTCAAACAGACAAGTCCTCTTTGCTTTCTAAAGGACTGCTTTTCAACTGATATGTACTAGTATGGCCATGTTGGTTGTTAAATGTTGAAGTACATCCTTAATGGTTGGTAAAGAGCTCATGCTGTAAGCAATCTGGATACCCCACCACAGCCTGGTCTCTCTCCCAGGAACTCTAACCCTACATCTCCCCACAATCCAACAGTTAAAAAGTGATCCCCAGGCATGGAAGGAGGCTTTAAAGACCTTATTTCTTTACTACTTTCCATTCATCCTGATTACTGGTGCCCAGGCCATGCCCGTTGTTTAATAACTTTGACTATCACCCTGACTTTCTGACTGTTCCATAAATCATTACTGTTTTAACAGTGTTTGTGTCCTGCAAACTAGAGTATCAAATGACTCTAGCTCACCTGCCATTGTTTATCTGTGTAGAACCAAAATTTAGAGGTTTGTTATTTTCTGAATAACCCAGAATACCATCATACTGTAACTCTAATAGTCTCCTAAACCACACTGCTTTTTTTCTTTGTTTCTCTCGATGTTGATGGTTTGGTCTAAGCTCTGTGTTCTCTCATTATTCCTTCCAGTTCGCTTTGCGCCTTACAGGCCTCCAGATATCTCCCTGAAGCCTCTGCTCTTTGAAGTGCCCAGCATCACTACAGAGTCAGTGTTTGTTGGCCGGGATTGGGTTTTCCACGAAATAGATGCTCAACTTCAAAGTTCCAATGCCAGCGTGAACCAAGGAGTAGTGATTGTGGGAAACATTGGGTTCGGCAAAACTGCCATCATCTCCAGACTGGTGGCCCTCAGCTGCCATGGTACCCGGATGAGACAGATTGCCTCAGACAGCCCCCATGCCTCCCCAAAACGTACGTATTCCTTTTTGAAGAACTCCCTGCTTCGTTGCTCTGAAATTTCTTCTGTTATATTTATGTTAAGTTTCATGTCCTTTTATTTCCTTATCTACAAAACTTGACTTGCATGTGAGGACCATTAATTCAGAGTTGAGGGAAAGAATGTAATACTCTGTTTATATTTAACGCACATATCCAACAATCACCTAAGTGTAACTGAAAAAACCTTTCTCTCAGAATAAATTTATTCCTCTTTCCTACTGGCTGACTGTCTAGTCTGTCTTTTGGATAATGACTACTACAGTTGCTTATAAAAGCTGTTTGCATCCATCACTGTCAGCTTTTGCTCAGTCTGTACCCATGTCTTCTTGTTACATGCCATCACAGTCTGTTTGCGGCCTTCATTTCCTTGCTATTGATGTCAGTATTGTACTGCTTAGGCTTGAACTTCATTGTGTCCTTGAAGGGTTTCTCCTGATTCCTTGTAAAAAAGATCCTGAGATTTCATATATATTTGTGCTTCTTTCATCACTGGCAGGGCACAGCTTAATGATCACCACCAGGACCTTGTTTATATATTTTTAAAATACTCATGGTCCTTAGTACCAGGCAATCTCTAAAAGCTTAGCAAACATTAATTTATCCAATCCTCTTGTCAACTCAGTGAGGTAGTTCCCTTTATCTTCATTTCACAAATAAGTGATCTGAGGCCCAGAAAGGTTAAGTAAGCCCCCCAAGTTTCATAGTCAGTAAAGGGTGAAACTAGAATTTGAGCCTACGCAGTCTGGCTTTAGAGGCCATTCTCTTATCCATTGTGCTATACTGCCTCTCCTTATTGGAAAAACTCACTTGAGTAAAGAGATAAAAGGAACTGTATAGATGTTCTTCCTATGTGCACTATGTATAAAACCAGTCTACCTGGCTTGTGTTAGTTATAAGAAAACAAAAAAACAGAAACTATTGCTCTACTAGTCCAAATCAGTAATCCAGCTCACCACACATTTTCAGATAGCACCCACTAGAAATGAGTTGTTTGAGATCATAGTAGTTACAGAGTTCAGCACAGTGCTAGAAACTCAACAGAAACTCAGTGAACACCCTGGCTTCTTGTTGAAATTAATTGGTAATCTCATGTCATTAGGTAGGCAGACTGCTTCTGGTAAACTTATGCATATATAACATGTAGAAGAAGAATTAGTATCTAGAAAGAAAATTGGTTGAATCAAGAGTCCCTGTTTATCAGGATATGGTAAGAATTGGTATGAAAGAATTCTTTTCTTAAGAGCAGTATCATGCTTAGTTTCTACATGAAGCTTTTCAGAAGTATATTGGCATAGTGTTATGGGAGTCGAGAGCCCAGAGTTTGAGCCCCAACACTCAAACTAACTATACTTTGTAACCTTGAGAATTTTACATTGTCTTTAAACCTCTTTTCTCATCTGTAAAATGAGGAAGTGGGACTAGGTGATCTTTAAAATTTGTTTCTGTGCTTAAAATTCTATGATTCTAAGAACACCTTCATGGTTGAAAGTAATTTTCTACACCTATTCCAGTATTTTCCTTTGAGTGCTTATATATCACACCAAACTACTTCTTATCTGAGTAATCCAAGAGGTTAACTATTTGAGTGTGTCAGAAAGAAAACCAGATAGCTATTAGTCTCTCTGGCTTTTCTGTATATCACTGTTGCAGACAACAGAATGGTAGAATCATGCATGACAGAGGATAAATCCCAAGGGTAAGAAGAACTGCTTTCTCAGAAAGCAAAGGTACCTAGAGGCCCCCCCTCTGAGCCTGGGAGAACAACAGTTAATAGAAAACAGCCCATGTGCTCTCCAAAGCACAGGGTTTTTTAAAGGTATTTCATTAAGTTATTCTCTAACATACATTGCCTTTTATCTCCAGAGAAACTCTGAAAATACCTAGATAGTCTCATTCGTGAGGTAAACGTCCATATGTTGAGACTGTAGATTTGGCCTGATAGTTAACTTTCAAAACTTGAAAAGGTGTCAGAGGAGCTAGAGTGTGTAGTTATGCACTTATCAGAATTACAGAGAACCAGCAGTTGCCTTGGACAAAATAACGTTTTGTTGTAATCTGTTGAGGTCCAAATTACAGTCTACCTCTGCCATCTTTACCAAACCACTAGTCCTTAAAAAGGGTCAAGAGTAAGTGACTGATATAGTGCAAGTTATTTTTCAGCATAGCTCTGTCACTATATGAGCCAGCACTGGAAATGTTACTAGCAGTAGCAGGATTTTTTTCATTAATGAGTAAGAATGATGTCTGTATAGAGAATTGGCTTAATTTTTTACAGAATTTAGTTTACGTTAAGCTTGAATAGGTTTATTTAGAATTTCACTGGCTTTCCTAACCCTGAGTCAGTGATACCAAGGATGTAGTTGTAGTAATAATGAAAACAAGTGGAAAATTATTAGAGCTCCCAATTTCCATGTCTGTATCACGTGTCGTTCTTTCTCCTGCCCCTGCCTCCTCCCTGCTGAGCAGCACTGCTGTGGAAGATGTGAGCAGTTTAGCCTGCAGTACTGCTTTGCCTGGTTCTGTCCTTCCTCCACAGACATTCAGCCCCCAGTCCGCCCCCTCCTTGTCATTTCCCAGGGAAAGTGCAGAAGAGCTGTCAAGGCAGGCACTAGTCTGTCATCCTGCTTTCCACCTACACCCTTCCCAAACCTGACTCCCACGTCAGTCTCCACCACCACCATCGTCACCCACCCCGCGACACACACACACACAAAGAACAAAAACATTTTGTGAAAATAGACCTGTTGTGTAATTCAGGCATTATTACATTAACTATAAGTGTACTCAGTGCGGTAGTTAGGGAAGCTCTGTTTAGTACAAGACTATATTTTCCTATCACTAAAAGTCTCAGTGTAGTTATTATTTGAATTTGACATTTGCCAACAGCTGCCAAACCCTTAAACAGCTGTTAAGTAAGTAACCCCTACCCTACTCGTTTCGGAAGTCTGTTTTGCCAGTTTGCTATGCACACTGACTGCTGCCTGCCTATTAACTTTTATTTCTCCTGTTCTCTGAATGCCAAACAGAAAGTAAAGATATCCAAACAAAAAAGAAGGCATCTCTAAAAGAAAATGGCTAGAACACAGAGGGAAATCAGACAATAATTGCCCACAAAATCAAATACCAGATAAAGGGGAATGGAGTGGGGAGAAGGAGTGAACAACAGAAATGAAACGGTGACGCACAGTGACTGAACTTTACTGCAACTCACACATTTCTTCAGGTTTTTTCACTGCCATAGCCTGCACTTACTCTCCTACAATTATTCAGAACTCTATCCAGTGACCAGGGAATTTACTCTACCAGTTGGATGGAAGAAGTCTCAGTTCAGTCCTACTGATAGAGAGTTAAGTGGGGGCCACCTTCCCCCATTCCCCCACCCCTTTAATAGCTATTGTCCATCAAACAACAGTCTATTTATTTTGGTACCCATTTTTAAAGTATGGTCTGTATTCATAAATATAGTCTATAATTTCTAGTAGTAGGAAAGACATTTTCTAAATAACAAGAACAAATGGAACTTTTTAAAAACTGCTTTAAACTACAATTCACATTCCATAAACTTCACTCATTTAAATTTTCAATTCAGTGTTTTTTAGTATATTTACAATTGTGCAGCAGTCACCATAATCAAATATTAGAACATTTTCATTCCCCCTGAAAGAAATCCCATGCCCATTAGCAGTCAATCTCTGTTCTCCTCCTAATTCCCTACTTCCACCTGTAGGTAACCACTAATTTACCTTTTGTCCCTAAGGATTTTCCTATTTTGGGCATTTCATATAAACAGAATCATAGGTGGCTTCTTTGGGTGAGTCTAATATTCTCAAGGGTTATTTATATTATAGCATATATTGACATCTCATTTCTTTCTTTTGTCGAGTAGTATTTCATTGTATGGGTATACCACATTTTGTCCATTCATCAGTTGATGGTCATTTGGGTTGTTTCTGCTTTTTGGTTATTATGAATTTTGCTTCTCTGAACATTTGTGTACAAGTTTTTGTATAGATATATGTTTTTATTTCTCTTGGGTACATACCTAGGAGTAGAATTGCTGGATCGTAGAACAAATGGAATGTAACCAATCTTTCTTTGATTCAGAGTTTTACGATTATTTGATGCAAACTGTCTCATCTTTTTAATCCAGATGTGGATGCCAACAGAGAGCTGCCACTCACACAGCCACCTTCAGCCCACTCATCCATCACCAGTGGAAGCTGCCCAGGAACTCCAGAAATGCGCAGGCGGCAGGAGGAGGCTATGCGGAGACTAGCCTCTCAGGTACAATAGGATTCTCAGGTTGCAGGCATGCTAGTTCCATTTTAACATCAAGGGGGCAAAGGTAGGGAGACCCTTGGCAAAGTGAACAAAAATGTGTACAGATATACCATGAGAACCTGGAGAAAAGTTTCTTTCTTTGCTGTTCCTAGAAAAATACTTTATTATTATGGCATCTGAACCTTATTGTTGGAAAGGCCCTTAGAAATAACCAGAGTCCCATAATAAATAGATAAGGAAGTTGAGACTCAAAGAAGTTATACAGTTTACCCAAGATCACAGTATAAGTAATCAACAGTTTTTTGTTTTCATTCTTAGCTCAAAACTCTTCCTGTTATATTACACTGTGATTTTTTTTTTATCTGTTTGGGTTTTAAATCTCTGTTTTTATCAAAGTAACATATGCATATAGTTTAGAAAATGAAATAATGCTCAAAGACTTATAATAAAAACCAGCAATTCGCTTGCTCTCCTCAACCCACTCTCTTCCCAAAGGCAGTCACTTTCAACTCTTAGGGCTGTTTCTCTGATTTTTACCTCCATGTTCCTAAACAATACTCATATACTGCTATAACTTTTCTCATCTGTTTTACACATTATCTATTGCTTCTTATTATGGATGGTGAGAATTTTAGCTCTTCATCTTCCTTCCTTCCTCTAATATCTCAGTACAGTTATATCATGATTTTTGTCTGAATCTATATTGTAGTATTTTCAGCATTGATACTGTATGCAAACACTGCAGAACCAAGGATAGCATTTCCTTCTTGAGCAATTTTGTTTTCCCTGGGGTTATGAAATGCCTCATTTTAAAATTTGCTCATTTTTCTTCACACCTATGGCTGTCATTCCATAACTCTTAATAGCTTTGTAAAATTCTTCTCAGTACAATTTTCCATCAGTTACATTGTTCCCCCCGGAGACATTCATCCTAGTACCCTCCATTGAGCTCAGTCTGGACCTAGGATGCTCTCAAGGCTTGCCACCTGGTTGTTATCCAGGAAACCCGTGTTCTCTTCTGTGTTTGATCCCATGTCATCTTCTTTCTTGATTTTATTCCTCATTTTGGTGAAGCACATCCTTCACTAGCTTCCTAAGAAATAATACATAGGAGATAAGTTTTTCGAGACCTAGTGTTTCTAGAAGCATCTTTATTCTATTCTCATAGGTTACCATTTGTTCAACATAATATAATTCTAGGTTAAAAATTATTTTCCCTCAGAGTTTTGAAGGCATTGTTCCATTGTCTTGAGCTTTCAATATTGCTATTAAATAATGTGGTACTATTCTTATTCCTAATTATTTATATATATCTTTTTTCTCTCCGGAAGCTTTTAGAATCTTCTTCCTTCCTTCCTTTCTTTCTTTCTTTTTTTTTTCGGTGAGGAAGATTGTCCCTGAGCTAAGATCTGTTGCCAGTCTTCCTCTTTTTTTTTTTTTGTTTGGCTTGAGGAAGATTGTCCCTAAGCTAACATCTGTGCCAATCTTCCTCCATTTTGTATGTGGGACATTGCCACAGTATGGCTTGATGAACAGTGTATGGGTCTGTGCCCGGGATCCAAATCTGTGAACCCCAGGCTGCCAAAGGGGAGCACCTGAATTTAACCACTATGCCCTTGGGCCAACCCCTAGGATCTTCTTTTTATCACTGTTGTTTTGGGGTCTTTTTTCATTTATTCTGTTGGTACCTAGCAAGCCCTGGAGATGTTCTTTGATTCTGGGAAATGCTTTTGTATTGTTTATTGATAATTCCCTCACCACTATTTCCTCTCTTCTCTTCTTCTACAACTTCTTTTAATCAAAAATTAGGTTTGCTGTACTGACACTCTAGTTTTCTTAACTTTTCTCTCCTGTTTTCTTTACTTTTGTTTGTCTATTTTGGTTTTTAATCCACCCTTAAGAATTTCCTTAATATTACTTCCCAGTCCTTTCACAAAAAAATTTTTGTGCCTGTCATAGTCTTAATTTCTAATAGCTGTTTCTTTTCCCCAGTTGTCCCCTTCTTTTCTGTAGCATCCTGTTCAATATGGATGCAGTATATTCTCTTATCTCTTACTTCATAGTTAGGTACTGAAAAACTCATGGGAAGCTTGTGTGTATAGAGAGCTTAACTATAGAGCATTAAGACAACCCACCATCTTTGTTGGAAATAGTCAAAAGTCAGGGTCCATAAGGTTTTTTTCTTGTGCTCTTCATCTTCTCTAGCAAAGAATCCACCAATCTCCTCCCTGGAGGGTCTCTGTTCTGGGTACCAGCATTCTGGAGCTAGGCAGGAGAAAGGGGCAGTTTTCGCCGTTCACTATGCAGACTTTGACTTAAGTCCCTTGTTTCAGTCCTGCATCTGATCCCTACCTACTCTGTGTCTGGTGTCCCTAAGTCTAGATTCTCTCTAGTTTACTTTGTCTAGTGAATATAATTATTTTTCCTGTGGGTGTTGGGGAAGGTAGTCACCTGGCTGGGCAGGGTGGGGATAGATATCTAGGGATCTAACTACTCCTTATATAAACTTTGACTAATTTCTGTGTTGTCAGCTCTCTTCCTCACCCCCACCCTCCACAGAGCCTGGTGCTTCTAACTCCTACACTTCTCTGAGGTTTTACAGATGATTTGGCTTCTCCTGCTTTGTTACTACCTCCAGCAGGTGTTTGTTTCACCTTCTTCTGTTAAGTCATTTATGAATCCTGCATTCACCTCCCGTCTTTATATATTATAATCAGAGATTATAGCTAGATATCCTTATAGATGGATTTTGAATTCCTGTTTCTTTTTCTCCTTTTATTTTTGAGGATTTTCCAGAGAAGAATAGAGTGTAAAATGTCTGTCTCCAGTATTTAAAGAAGTCTCTTGTCATGGTTAATTAGTATTGAGGAACAGGGAGTCATCTAAAATATTATCAGCTTCTAATTTCTTTATCGAAATTGAGTTCAGCTCAGAGCCACAAGCAGCATATTTCCCCGAACTACGTTTTTGATTGTCCCCACTCATTGGTGCACACTCATTTATCAGTGGGCTTCCGAAAACAGTCTGAGATTCCCCTCGTCTTCTTTGCTCAGTGCAACTTTAAAAGACGTCTCTGTGTTTTCCTAAATAATCCTCTGTTAACTGGCTGCATCCTCCTCCTTAGATAGAACAATCAGAATATATTACCTTAGAAATACACAAATGCTGAAGAGCTTGCATCATCACAGTCATTCATTTAAAACGTATGTTTGGAATGCCTGGAGTACAAGACTGCAGTTAAAGCAGTGAACAAAACAGACACAACCCCTGCTGTTATGTAGCCATGTTCTCATGGTGGGAGAAGGCCAGTAAACAAATATATAACATGTCACGCGGTAATGAATGCTGAAAAGAGCTTAGAGAATTAAGTCTCCCCGCATTGTCACTTCTCAGTCTGTCTCTTATTGAGAGAAAAAGTCCCAAGATGTTTATGTTTAATATTTTAAAAGTATTTTATATGTTGTTAGTAGGAAATTAGTGACTACACTTACATTTTAAATTCCATGATTGTATCTTCCTTAGGCAAAATATAAATATTTTTTGTACCTAGACATTGGATATTTTTAAGTTTGTATTAAACATTGTATAAGAAATGGCCCTTTAGATTAAAATTGATGTGTATGTTCAATATTTGGAAAAATGTTAAATACTGGAAGTAGGAAATTAGTGATTATTTACACTTAAGGAACATATTTTAAATTTTATGATTATTTCTTCCTTAAGTAAAGTATAATTAACATCTGTTTGCATCTAGAGATGGGATATTTTTAAATTGGTACTAAACATTGTATAAGAAATGATGTCTTAGATTAAAATTGAATATTATCCAAGTAATCGTGCCACATATTGCAGTTTAGGTATACAGTTTGTGCTGTAGAAGCATAGAGCAGCAGCAGCCAGCAATCTTATTTCTCATCTATAACAAATCAGTAAGCAGAAATTCTCTTCTCAGTAAGGTTTTCAAATCAGTACTTTGATGAAGTAAGCTAATACATGAGAATTAAAAGTGTCCTTGAAAAACCTCTTAATCTGATAGACAATGTTCTTAGTGTCAATTCTTATATAACAGTGATTATCATTGGTATTTCATAGTATTCCTGCTGCTTCCTGTGCTGCTACTTAGTTGAGAACACTGAAGAGTTTTTGTCACCGCTTTAGAACAATTTTAGTTATTCAAGAAACACTTTCCACTTGAAGTAACAGATTTTGCTAGGTTGGCGTCCCTTACAAATATTCCCAGTTAATATTACATATTTCTTCTGAAGTATAATCACAGGAGAGGGGCACAGAGATCTCATTAAGGGCCTTTCCTAGATACGTGAGTTTAACTCTCTAGCTTTTCCAGGCTTCGAATCTGTTACTACCAAGTGGTTATACATGCAGAATTCACCAGACAAGAAGAAGCCAGCTTCCATTTACTGAGGGCTTAATGTGTGTTGACTTCAGCACTATTTATATTTATTGTTTCATTTCTTCATTCTTACCTTAACCCTGTGAGGTGGTCATTATTATCCCCATTTTACAGATAAGGAAACTGCTTCAATGATTAGTTTTTTCAGGGTCACGCTATTAGTAAATGGCAGATCTAGGATTCAGAGCTGGTATTCACCCCTCTGAGGTGAGTCCTGTTATTTTCCCCATTTTACAGATAAGAAAACAGAGGCTCTGAGGTGAAATAACTTGCTGAGATAAATAGTACATAAACAAACTGAGTCAGGCAGGTTCCAGAGCCCATGCTTTTAACCACTATACTATGCTGCCCCTCTAGTGTGACGGGAAGGATTTTTGTTTAGTATTCTTTTGGAAAATCTATCAATAATTGAATGTGGCTTTAAAGCAAGAAAATTATAATAAAGGAGCACCTTTCAGTCATTCTTTTTCAGAAAAGGGCTTCATGCAGCTAGAAGCTCCTGTCACATTAGATAAGTTTTCACTGGCTTAGTCCTTAGACTAAGAAGCTAATACATCTGAAATAAGCTAATTAGAGAAACCAGCTAATTTTAACAAGTGACACAGAGATACAAAAAGCAAAGTTTTTTTTCTCTAAGGAAATCTATGTAAGAAAAAGAAATGTCATCCTTGCCAAGAGACTAGTTCTGTACTAAATCAGGGGGATGTCAAATGATCATGGTTCCTGAAATTATTGCTGCTGCTGTTAAACCTGTCAGCCCCAAAGTAACCATTTCAGCAATCCTGTAATAGGAGCGCATTGAGCATGATATGGAGCCTTAAGAGACCCACACCCGCACATATACACAGAGGAAAAAAACAAAAAAACAACAGCAATGAAGTCTAAGATTTGATTTATGCTGCACTTGGCTATTTTTGAAAATATTTACATTTTAGGAGAAATGGGATCCTAACTAAATAACAACGTGTAGATGATGTTTTATAAAATTTGTATAGGACATTTTTCCTCTAAAAATTAATACTGAAATTTTATAGTCAGACTCAAATTTCGTCTACATTCAGGATGCTGAATATGGGAAACAACCTTGTTTGTTTGTCAATTTCAGTGTTTTTTTAATCTGTCTCTTCCACGAAAATGGGTCAGTGTTTAAATTGTTGCTCACCGTTGTATCCCTCACTCTTAGCACAATGCCTGGTACATAAGTATTTGTTAAATGAATGAATAAACTGTAGTCTATTCTTTATACTGAAGCGTGAGTAATCTTTCTAAATCATATATTATTTTTTGCTACTTAAAACCTGTAAATGCTCCTCATTCTCTTGAATGAAATTCAAACTCCCTTCTTAGAACATCACATAAACTGTAATAAAAAGGCCTTTACTTTTTAAATCTAGCCCAGGGTTTCTCAGCCTCAGCACTATTGACATTTTGAGCCAGATAATTCTTTGTTTGTGTGGCTGTCCTGTTTATTGTAGGATGTTTAGAAGCATCCTTGGTCTCTACTCACTACGCAGTAGCACTCCTCCAACCCATAGTTGTGATAACCAAAAATGCCTCCAGACATTGCCACATGTCCCCTGGGAATCAAAGCCACCCCCAGTTGAAAACCACTGTTCTGTCTTATCTCCCACCATTCTCCACTCACTCACACTCTAGCCACAGTAAAATTAATTTCAATTCCTTGAAAGCGTAAAGCTGTATCTTGCCTGAGGGCCTTTGTATGCACTGTTTTCCTCTGCCTGGAACACTACCGTCCTCAGTTCACTCCTCCTCAACCTTCAGATCTCAGCTTAAATATTACTTCTTCTAAGAAGCCTTGTCTGGCTCTCCTAAGTTACTTACTTAGATGACCCATCTGTAGGTTGTCCCAGCACCTTATATTTCCTCTCTCATAGTGCTTTTTTTCCAGTTTCATTGAGACGTAGTTGACATATAACATTGTATTAAAGATGTGCAATGTAATGGCTTGGTATGTGTATATATTGTGAAGTGATTACCACAGTAAGTTTAGTTAACATACATCACCTCACGTAGTTAGGAAATTTTTTCTTATGATGAGAACTTCTAAGATCTATTTAGCCACTTTCAAATATACAATAGTTTGTTGTTAACTATAGACACTGTGACATTACATCCCCAGAACTTATCTTATAACTGGCAGTTTCTACCTCTGGGCCACCTTCACCCATTTCTTCCACCCTTCAACCCCCCCAACTTTGACAACCACCAATCTTTTCTTTGATTCTGTGAGTTCAGTTTTTTTAGATTCCACATATAAGTAAGGTCATACAGTATTTGTCTTTCTCTATCTGACTTATTTCATTTAGCATAATGCCCTCAAGGTCCATCCATGCTGTCACAAATGGCAAGATTTCCTTCTATTTATGGCTGAATAGTATTCCATTGTGTATATGTACCGCATTTTCTTTATCCATTCATCCATTGATGGACACATTGGAATTTAACTGATACAAATGCCAGTCATTATGTAAATTAAATTTTTGTGTCCAAATGAATTTCAGATATTCAAAGCTGCCCTTTTTTTATGTGACATTAGCTTAATCCTGTCACAGACTATTCATTTGAGGTAGAAAATGATCTTTGGAGAGTGCAGGCCTTAGACTTTTAATACAAGCCTGACAGATTTGCTGCCAGCCAGTCATTTGATTAGAGCCTTTGATGAGAATTATCCTTAGTTTTATCATTTCTTGTGTACAGCATTAATTCAAAAGCTTTTTATACCCAAGGCTATACTGACCTCTAGTCTTCTTTTGTCGGTATAGCCTACAAACCTGCTCTTTTCACAGAAGTAATCTGAAATTTACTCACTGTCTTCTTCAAAGAATTAATACAGTTCTGATCATATCAAATATATTTTGGATAAAATTGTTTTAATAAAGAGTTTAAGCATTTAACGTAAGAAAAACTTGAGATGGAAAAAAATTACTAATATAAGAAAGACATAGCTGAAAATGAAATTTCAGCAAGTCATTTTGAGAGACAAGCATTCACCAAGGATAAAGGTTTTATCTGCTGATTTATTGGGGGTGGACTAATTCTGAACCATTTCCAAGAAGTTGGAATAATAATGACTAAGTATGGGTGGCCATGATGACTTCCTCAGAGCTGTAGAGAGTGATCTAATATCTATCACTGAACACTGGTACATTGAGAGACTCGAAGAAAAAGCTACATTCCCAGGCTTAGTTCCTATTTTTATACATAGGGAAAGTTGTAGATAATGTCAACAGACACTTTGGGGAAAGTACAAAATGTTTTTGACAGATTGTATGTAATATACATTTATAACTTCTATATAACACATATATTATATAAGTACTTTGAAATGTCTAGTAAATACCTCTTATGAGCCACAGTGCTAATGTCATGAAGAAGTTGAATGGTCTTTCCGCCTAATTTCTGTAAAAGAATTGAGACTTTATTTTGAAATAACAAAGAAATACCTAAAAGAAAGAAAGGCAGCTACAGAAGGGGCAACTTTAGCATTGACCTTTGTTAGATAAAACCTCATTCAGCCAAGAGCACAAATGATTTTTAATGAAATCAGTGAAAGAACCTTCTTTCTAAATTTCAGAATATTTATCTTCAAACTTATATCCCATTACTTTAGATAAAGGGTAAGCTATAGCTGATTTATTCAGCAGTGCTTCACCTCGATATGTGAAATCAATTGAGGTAAAATATGAAAATTCACATTGATTCAGAGGTTTGCTGTTTGCTTTTTTTAAATTGGAGATTTATATCCATGTGGACATAACCACTGACATTCACTGTTCATTGAGAGGACAGATCAATTGCTGCCAAGTTTTCTCTTTGGGTTCCTTACACTGTGCTTAAGATAGGTAATAAAGCAATGACCAATCTATCTAAAGAAAAGAATGGAGATTTTTTAAACACAATTTCTCATTTCCAGTTCCATATTATACTCTGACACCATTGCTTCACTCACAAGCAACGTGAGTTATATGTGTACTATCCTCAGCTTTGTATGTATACTAACATTTCCTGTATCATTCAATTTTTTTTATGTTTAATGAGAAAGATTTCAGGTGTTTAAAAAAAAGTGACATTTCCAGCGTTTGTTAAAGAGCTAGGATGACCGTACCTGTAGAGTAGGAGTCTTTTCAAAAGGGTATTCAGAAAATAATTAATGATAATTCTTAAATCTGAATTATTTCATTTTTTATCGTGCTGCTTATAAAACAATTATAATTTAAAAAGTGATGACTTGGAACCAGTCCTATACCCCAGTGGTTAAGGTTCTGTACACTCTACTTCAGCAGCCCAGGTTTCAGGGTTCAGATCCTGGGCGCGGACCTCCTCTACTCATTAGCCATGCTGTGGAGGCATCACATATACAAACAATAGAGGGAGATTGGCACAGATATTAGCTCAGGGCAAATCTTCCTCACCAAAAAAAAGTGATGACTTGGGGCCAGCATGTTGGTGTAGTGGTCTGCTTGGGTGTCCTGGGGTTTGTGGTATCAGATCCCAAGCGTGAACCTACACACCACTCATCAAGCCATGCTGTGGCAGCATCCCACATGCAAAATAGAGGAAGATTAGCACAGATGTTGGCTCAGGGACAATCTTTCTCAGGCAAAAAAGAGGAAGATTGGCAATAGATGTTAGCTCAGGACCAATCTTCCTCACCAAAAAAAGGAGGGGGATGACTTATAAAAAGCATATGTGTTTGTTGTGACTAACATGTTTTTTCTCTGATTATTTTATTCCTAATGCTTTGTTATAAGATTAGACTTTCTATACTGCTCCATGCTGAATAAATATTAGAGAGATTAATGTAAATCTTTATTCTCAGACTTGCTTCCTATTTTTTATAATCCAGAGAGAAAACTCAATTTGTATTTATAAATTTTAATTGTGAATTTTGATATGGTATGTATATAATAGAAATATTGTATCAAATTTCTGATCTTAGATTGGGCAGTTTCTGAGTTAGCACCTTTTATTTTTGCTTGAAAAAGTTGAGGAATGGGGAGACAGAAGACAATGTTAGAGAATGATTATATAATAACATGGCTATTGTTCTTGCTACTGATAAACCTGTATGCATTCTCATCTTTCTTTTGAAGGTGGTTGCCTATCACTATTGCCAAGCGGATAATGCCTACACCTGCCTGGTACCAGAATTTGTCCACAACGTTGCTGCCCTGCTCTGCCGCTCACCTCAGCTGGCAGCCTATCGGGAGCAGCTTCTTCGGGAGCCTCACCTACAAAGCATGCTGAGCCTTCGGTCCTGTGTTCAAGACCCCATGGCCTCCTTCCGGAGGGGAGTCCTGGAGCCCCTGGAGAATCTCCACAAAGGTACAGATGAGGTGCAAAGAAAGTGAAAGGTGGAGGCTTTGGAGCCCAAGTTCACCTGGGGCATGCTATAGAAATGATTATTTTTATCACATTGCCGAAACTAAATGTTCCATAGCTGATGTCCTACAGGATACAGTAACAGATAAAAGATTTTACTTGAAAAATAAAAATGTCAGCAGGAATAGCCACTTCCTCCTTTTATTATAAAAATTCTCACTCTCAATTCCAGATATAATGCATTTTTCTTGTACTGAAGATAGTAGAGCTTCCAGTCCTTTCTGTAGAGTTCGAATAAATCAGTAAAGCCATAGCGCTAACTCAGTGTTGTGTAGTTTCTATGTGTAGAATCAGTCTTTGTGTTTGATTTTTTTTTCTGCTTTTTCTCCCCAAATCCCCGCAGTATATATAGTTGTATTTTTTTTAGTTGTGGGTCCTTCCAGTTGTGGCATGTGGGACGCCGCCTCAACATGGCCTGATGAGCGGTGCCATGTCCGTGCCCAGGATCCGAACCATACGTTTGATATTTTTTATTACTCCACAGTTTAGGTAAAATGAAACGGCATCTGTAGTTGTACAACTCTGTGTATATACTAAAAATCATTTAATTGTCCACTAAAAGGTATTTAAAAGGTATAAAGATATTTTTTTTAAATGGGGAAAAAGTGAAATTGAATCCATCTCCCTCTCATGCTCATACCTTTTCTCCCTTTTTTCTTCTGGAACTCTAGTGTTGGCTGTGCCCTCAGTACAACCGTCTCCTCCTTCACCCATCTCTGCCCCATCCTTTTAGTAATGTTTTGTCAATGCTGGAAGCCAAAGCAAAGGATTTGAGTAAGCGTGAGATTCCTGAGCAACCCTGTTTATTCCTGAGAGACTTATATACCTTTCTCGAGGGTTTCAGAGGTACTCATAAGAAAAGATGATTATAATTTCTATTCTCCTGGCCACCATCTTCTGTTATTTCAAGCTCCGTGCTAGTTAATTGGATGTCAAAGTTTCTCTTCTCAACTCTGATGACCTCTGTCTATACCTCTCCCACATATTAGCTTTACCTTACCCTAGACTTTTTTAAACCTTGGAATTTCTCCACACCTCATATATCACTTACATTAATAGATGACTTCTAAGTAATTCCTTCAAAGGAAAAGAATCTCAAAAACAAAGCCAAGATTTAGAACAATATAATTATCTTGATTAAGTGGGGCAAATATTCCTTTTTTTAATAAAAAAGAAATATATTGTCTACTCATGGGATGAATAGTATAATCTACTGGGAATTTATGCAAATGAAAATTTAATTTTATTAGCAAATGAATTATTCATTAAAGTGTCTAGATCATAATTTAAAGGATGTTCTTCATCTTTAGTCTTGAGAATGTTTTTCCCAAAGAAAATCTCAACAGATGCATTATCATCAGCCTTTTCTCCACTTGAAAATCTCACTTTATTATGAAGGAGCCTGGGTGAAGTTAAAGGAGGTACAACTGAAATGCTGGAGACAGTGGTGTGCTGGTACATTTTTAACAGCCAGCTGGGGGAGGAGGGCTGATTTGTAATATTTGCAGGTTTCCGTTGTGTGAATAAATATTCCCACCTTGGCCAAGTTCAAGCTGCCAGTTGCTTAACAACCAACCAGCTCTTGAAAATATTGTGCTGGGCTCTCCTGAACCAGTACAGGACAGCTCCAGCACACCACTGGGTGAGGCTAGGTAATGGTACTTAGTAGCAACAGATAGGTCTATTATATCTGCCAAGCAGAGTGCAATTAGAAAATTTCTCTAGGGAGGGGCTGGCCCCGTGGCACATCGGTTAAGTGCACACGTTCTGCTTCAGTGGCCTGGGGTTCACCGGTTGGGATCCCGGCTGCGGACATGGCACGGCTTGTCGAGCCATGCTGTGGTGGGTATCCCACATATAATATAGAGGAAGATGGGCACGGATGTTAGCTCAGGGCCAGTCTTCCTCAGCAAAAAGAAGAGGATTGGTAGCAGATGTTAGCTCAGGGCTAATCTTCCTCAAAAATAAATAAATAAATAAAGTAAAAAAAAAAAAGGAAAAAATTTCTCTAGGGAAATTAAAGACACTATTAAGCTTAAAGGAGCCAGGGTCCTCAAAATCAAGAACAGAAGAGCCCCAAGATGTTTGCATAAATCCCAGTTAGTTCCAAGCAACTCCTCTCGCTTCCTTTATTCTTTGACTCCCTGAAGAAATAATGTGTTTTCTTAGTGCTACATCATCTAGAATGCCATTTCATTAATAATCATTGTTAATAGTTAGAGCTGTAATCCATAATTCCTTTCTATTCCTAAATAGTCGCCAGATGAAAACAATAGTTAAAACTCTTCATAATATGAGAACTGACTTAGAGTACTTAGAATTGAAATTAAATTCCTTTATATAAAGCTTGAACTTTAGGGGAAGAATAGAAAGGCTTATTAATCATGCAAAAATATCTGTGTATTTTCACATGTGAAACTAAAATAGGTAGAGTTTCAGTTGCTCTTGATTCTTTTAAAGACTAAAAAAGCTAATCTCTTACTGAAGTCCACAGACTTTTCCTTCTGTCCCCAGCTGCATCTTCTTTTTCCTCCTCAGATATAATCTATTTCCCACTTCAGGCACTCATAACTTCTTGGCCTCTTCCCCCTGCTTTCTTTCAGAACCTATAAAATCCTAGTAACTTCTACTTGTTACTCACAATTCATTTATACTACAATGTTCATTCAACCTGAGGATCTTTAAATTTCTGATTGTTCGATGTACTCAAGAATCAATAAGCATTTAATGAGAGTGAAAGCCTGAAATCTCACCAAGCCTGCTTCTTCAGCCTAGCCCTAAAGATAAACTGGTTTTGTCAATTTAGGATAGTGTAGAGTCCAGGAGGAAAGTAAACACAAAAGTAGCAGATATTTGTCCTTCCCACATGGCTCCTTCTCCCCTGGGAAGATTACATAAGTGTCTGGTCTGATTGAAGCTGCTTTAGGAATAATCTAGGAGGCTTCTAGTTCTGTAAGATCTTGTGATCCAGGCTGCCTGGTTCAGAGCTGTCTGTTGGCTGGGATTCCTTTTCTCTTTTCCTCCAACCCTTCTTTCCCACTACACATTCACTTGTAGTCCCACATAATGCTCTTGACTTCAAATTAAACCTTTTTCTGTAAATTCCCAAAGGAACATGTGATACTGTTCTCTTTACTGCTATCAGATAGAAGAAAACAGAACACAGTTCTTTCAAATATGAGAGAAAAATGAATTTCCATGTGCAAATTCTCGTAACTGCAGTGCTCAGGCTGTCTCACAACTGATAACATGGGGGAAACGATGATGATACATACACTTCATATATTATATATGTGACAAAAGCTTTCACACCTGCTGAGAAACAAAATGAATTCACTACATGAATTATTTTGTCTTTTTAATAAATTATATATACCCTGAGCATTCAGTAAACACACGAGACCTTTTCTAATATTTTTTTTCCAAACAGATACATAATCAAAGACCCCAAAAGAACTCACTTATCCATTTGGTAATTATTAAGTAATTTGTTTCTTTCTATCTCAGAGAGAAAAATCCCAGATGAAGATTTCATCATCTTAATTGATGGATTAAATGAAGCAGAATTTCACAAACCGGATTATGGGGATACAATTGTATCATTTCTGAGTAAAATGATTGGAAAATTTCCTTCCTGGCTCAAACTAATTGTAACAGTTAGGACCAGTTTACAGGTATGTGTTTGCTTGCTTTTGGACTGTAAATTATTTCCCTTGGAGAGTGCTTAAACTGAAAAAGTTCTAGGTCTGTGTTCCCTTAGTGATAACTCTTTCTAAACCTCTACCATGTCCTACAGCACTAGCAAGAGTAGTTCCCAAAGAGCCTGTTTTGAGAGTAAGAAATATGTCCTAGAGAGAATGTTCTCCGTACGTGGCCCTCTTAGCTCAGATTCCCATTCCCATTGCTGTGGACAAGTTTTGATAAAGTGTCCCTCAAAATAGCATGAAAAGAAGTCCATTTTTCTAGACTTTGTCCTGAGGACAGCAACGCAAATAGAGTCCCTAACACTAATTTACTGTTTGGCTTTTGTTTTACATTTTTTATCGTTTAATGTCGTGCAAAATTCAGTTCAATCTACAGTCAAGAGTCCAATTTTCTAGTTCTTCCCTCTGGTTCTGCTTGAACAACTTTTCTATAGCATGAAGGTGGACTTTCTTCTGTGTATGCCTTCCTCTAAGAATGCTGGCAATATTAGGGATTTAGAATAAATTTACTAAACCTGTGAGATAAGATTTTTTTTTTTTAATTACCTTCTCTGCTCACTCATTGATCACTTAGTGACCTGGAAGAAGAAGCAGGAATGTGGAACTGAGCCTGTAAAGATATATGGGCTACTTAGCCCATAAAGGACATAGCCCATAAAGGACAAATGACTTTACCTCCTCTACCATTTTCATTTTAGCTGAATTGATATCTCCCGTTCTTTACATAGTCACACTTGGTTTGGAACAGGGTTCCTCAACCCTTTTTTCCCTAAACCATCACCTCTTTTGATGAACATTAATATCTCACACATTATATACCCATACCACTATTTTGATGCAGCCCCCTCATAACAATTGCTAATATACAGGAAATAGTCTTAGCTCCCTCCTTTTCCACTCTCCCAGGTACTTAGTATCATTCCTATGTATTGAGCAATTAGCTTTACTGCCTTCTTTGATCAGAAACTGTATTTCTGATCCTAGTCACCACTTTACAGATGTTTGTTATTATCTCAAAGTAATTTGAGTTAAAGAGTGTGACTGAATTAACATAAATGCATCTTTACAACTAAAAATTATATGATCTACCATTATTAGTCAGTAGCTTGATTGTTAAAGATGGAGGATAAAGAGAAGGAACTTCTAAGAACACAATCTCTGACTAGTTTTACTAAATGCATGTGTAGGAGACATTCTCGTTCATATTTTCACATAATGCCATGTACAATCTCAAAAGATTTTTTTTTCTGCTTTTTCTCCCCAAATCCCACCAGTACATAGTTGCATATTTTAGTTGTGGGTCCTTCTAGTTGTGCCATGTGGGACGCCGCCTCAACATGGCCCAGTGAGCGGTACCATGTCCGCGCCCAGGATCCGAACCTGCGAAACCCTGTGCCGCTGAAGCGGAGCACACGGACTTAACCACTCAGCCATGGGGCCGACCCCTCAAAAGATATTTTAAGTATGACTTAGTAGAGCAAATGACTAATTTTTCAGTTATGCCAAAAAAACAGGAAAAGTACTATACATATTAATCTACAAAGTCCAAATTTCAGTGTCTTCATAAATCAAGACCTGCAATAAACTCTCAGATACTTCACTTACTTTGACCAAGAATTTTTGAATGTTATTTTCATTCAGCTTTGACAATTAAATAACTCACAGGTCTTAAAAAATGAACCCTCATATTTGATCATTCATTATTTCCACAAACATTTCTTAAGTCCTTAAGTGTGTCACGTACTTTCTAGGAGCTTGAGGATATGGCAATGAATAAGACAGACAATATCCCTTCACTCATAAAGCATATAGTCTAGTGAGGAACATAAAATGTAAGTAAGTAAAAAATTAAACATATTAAAATTTTAGGTAGTGTTAGTGCTATGAGGACATAAAGTAGGTTAAAGGAATAAATGGGGATAATAGTTACTTTAGACAGGGTGGATAGGAAAGTCCTCTCCAAGGAGGCTTGTAAAGTGTTGAGATCTGATTTACCTTTTTAAAAGATTTCTTTGGCTGATGGCTGTGTAGGGAATCGATCAAAGAAGCAAAAGTACAGGTGAAAGATAATGGTGGCTTAGACTAGAGTGTTAAACGTGGAGACCCTGTGAAGTGGTCACACTTGGACTGTATTTTGAAGGAGAGTCAAAAGGACTTGGTGATGGGCTGAATGTGGGTGTGAGCGAGAAAGAAAATGCAAGAATGAATCATAAGATTTTGGTGAGCAGTTGGGTAAATGCTGGTTTGAGGAAAAGATAGTTCATACGATTTGGTGGTAGGGTCAATGGTAATGCCATTTATTGACATGGGAAGGTTTTTTGGTAGGCAGAATTCAGTAGTTCTGATTTGGTCACATTAAGTTTGTCTATGAAACATCCAAGTGTAAATGTTGAGTAGACAGATATAAGATGAGAGCTCAGGGAGATGACTAAGCTGGAAACATAAAGTTAAGCATCATCTGCATATATACATAATATTTAGAACCATGGGACCAAAGAAGCTGTTCTAGGGAATGAGAGTGGCTAGATAAGAGAAAAGAATGGAGACCTGAGCTGCAGATGCCTGAGAAATGAAAAAGGAGCAGCAAAAAAGGCTGGGTAGGAGTGGCCAGTGTGCTAAGCAGAAAATCTGGGAAGCATGCTATGGAACAAGCTTCAGAAAGTGACTCGGAAAGAAAGGTGTGATCAACTTTGTCAAATACTGCTGAGAGGTTGAGGAAGATGAGAACTGAAATTTGATTATTGAGTTTGGCAAGGTGAAGATTACTGATAACCTTGACAAAAACCATTTCAGTGAAGTGGTGGAGTTGAACCCTGATTGCAAAAGTGGAGGAGAGAATGAGAAGGGAGGAATTAGAGATAGTAAGTAGAGAAAACCTTTCTGTGAAGTTTTGCAAAAAATAGGAACAGGGATATAGCATGGGACGAATATGGGGTCGTTCATATGATCCAGTAGAGAAGAAGAAATTAATACAGGAGAGAGGGTGGATACTTACAGGAGCAAAGTCTGTATGCAGATAAGAAAAGATGGAATCCAGAGCTTGAGTCACCACAAAGTCCTATCACCTTCCCCCAATATAATTTTCAAGCAGATCACCAAGGTACCAAGCTTCCCATTCTTAGAAGTGGTTTTTTGGGCTAAGGCATCTCCAAAACGCCTACATTAAATGCAGTCATTTTATTAGGAGGGTTAGAGAACAACATTTTTATATGGCATTCTTTGAGTCCTTATACATTTCTCTTAGTGAATTGTATTTTGATATTGTGCCATGGTTTATATTGAGAAAAATTTTGTGGCATTCCATTTTAGGAGTGTTATTTGGCATATTGACTATTAAGTCAGTCCTAAAGTACCCTTTATGAAGACCCATAAAAATTATTTTGTCTCAATATTAGGAAAAGTTGTGTCCCTCCTATGCAACTAATATATTTTAATCTATGGACACTAATATTTGATCATATTTCCCTCTTTTCTTTGGCCGCTCAGAAGTTCAGAATAAATTTGTAGACCTCATAGCTTATCATAAGAGTTAGGGGAAACTGAAGGTCTTTCTGTCTCTCTCTCTCTCTCTCCATCTGTTTTAGGAAATTACCAAGCTGCTGCCTTTCCATAGGATATTTTTGGATCGACTAGAAGAGAATGAAGCCATAGACCAGGACCTGCAGGCTTACATCCTGCACCGGATACACAGCAGCTCAGAGATCCAGAATAACATTTCACTTAATGGCAAAATGGACAATACTACATTTGGCAAACTCAGTTCTCATCTCAAGACCCTCAGTCAAGGGTCCTATCTATACCTGAAACTCACATTTGACCTCATAGAGAAAGGCTATCTAGTGTTAAAGAGCTCTAGCTACAAAGTAGTTCCTGTTTCGCTCTCTGAGGTTTATTTACTCCAGTGCAATATGAAGTTCCCCACCCAGTCTTCCTTTGACCGGGTGATGCCTCTCCTGAATGTGGCAGTGGCCTCTCTCCACCCACTGACTGATGAACATATCTTCCAGGCCATCAATGCTGGTAGCATTGAAGGCACACTAGAATGGGAGGATTTTCAGCAGAGAATGGAGAACCTCTCCATGTTCCTAATCAAGCGCAGAGACATGACTCGTATGTTTGTACATCCTTCTTTTCGAGAATGGCTTATCTGGAGAGAAGAAGGAGAGAAAACCAAATTTCTCTGTGATCCCAGGTAAGCCATAGACCTGTAATAAGCAATTCTGAGTCTATTTTGTATTTATTGCATGGAGCATGGGTATTGAAAGCAGTGAGAAGTGTTCTTCATTGAACATTTCACATAAACAAAACATCATCTCTGTTTCTTCTCAAGACAAGGCTATAATGAAGGTAACTAACTTATTTTCTCACAATGTTATTTCCTTAAGACTCAAAATCTGCATATTTAAAATGCATCCCTACATTCCTGTATTTTCCTAAGTAATTTTCTCTGATCCCCCTAGGGATCCCAGGCTATAATTAATTTAGCCATTTAACAGGCTTCCTGTGTTCTTCACATATGAAGAAAGAGTTGATATACTGTTCACCTCTTTGACTGAAAACAGAATCATTTAAAAGTTGTCATTGCCCTTTTAAAAGCCATACCATTGTTAAAGTCACCATGACTAACCCCATTAAGCCCAGCTGATGCTAAAATTTACACTGGAAAATGGTATCTTAAACCTCAAAGCTGAAAAAGACTTGAAGAGATCAGCTGGTATAGCCACTCTACCTTTAGATAAATAAGGTGTCATTATTCCCATTTTACTATAAAGGCCTTAAGATGCTGAATCACTTGCCCTAAGTCGTAAAGTTAATAGGCGGGAGAAAGGAGGAGGGATAGAACAGGGATGGCAGATATATGGTATGTACCACCACTCCCGCACCCTGCACCCATGACAGACATCACTGATTTACCCCTGCACTCTTTCCTGATGAGCTTGACCCTGACTTAAGAATCTTTCTCAGCTCAACAAACCAGACTAGATATGAAACTTTCCCATTCTCCTGGGTAGAACCTACATCTGTAGCATCCCTGTGGGGTGTGCTTTCCACTCCTCCACACCACATTTTTAAAATAATTATTCCTTTAATAAAGTTGGTGTTTTCAGAAGCAGGTATATTCCTGATTTCCTGGAAACAGAGAAGACACCAACAACATAGCTGGCAAATGTAGAGCTTATTCTGCCTCAGAAGGAAGATAGGCTAATTTTGCCTATGTCTCCCACTGTGACTCATCAGAGAGACTAAACCTCTCTGACCAAGCTGGGGTTTTCTTACTCTTGTGGCCTGTTCTTCACCAGGCCTTATTAGAGACAACTGTGCTTGTGGGCATGCTGCTCAGCCTGCTTCATGCCAATGCATTACAAAATTAGTTCCAGATTCTGATGATGATGTTAAGCCAGGCAGTAGATTTTGTGGTTATTTTCTCCGAGAGGGAAACTTTTTTTAAAAGAAACATGCTGTAGTGGAAAGAACATGAACTTTTGAGTCAGATTACCTGCATATAAATCCTACCTTTTCTAAGAATTGTGACCTTCTAAAGTTACATAATGTTTCTGAGACAATTTTCTTATCTACATAAAAGGAGTAATAATTCCTAGAGTTTTTGAGAATTAAGTGAGATAATGCCTAGAATAGTACAGAGTACAAAGAAAGTGTTGGGGTATGTTCTTTTTCCTCGCCTCTCTTTGCAGTAATAGACCCTTCAGGTGTTATACCTTAACTACGTCCTGTGGCTAGTTGAATAGGCAGCAACAGTCTTCTGCTGTTAGCATTTTGGGGCACAAGATTTAAAAAAAACAAAACAAAACCAAGTCTGAGTCTCTCCTATGAATTGTATGGCATTCCCAAAAGGATTTTATTATAAACCCCACTAGTACCCACTGCTGATGCTTAATGCATAGAATTGGCAACCACGTATTTAAGAAAAAGACCAATCTAGAATTACTTAATAGACACTTTGAAATCAGTTTCCAAAGAAACTTTGCTAGCTGATCTGCTCTCTCATCTTGGAACATCTCAGAGGATTGAAAGCTGAGGTCCAAGGCAGCCACACTACTACTGAATTAACAGTATCCTTAGAATGGATGAAACCCTCAGGGGCTCCCAAAGGAGAAAATAGGTATTTATGCAGCCATAGTGTGGCTCTACAGGTTTACCCGTCTCAACATTGTTTATTTACTGGGAGTATTTCGGCAACAGGCTGATGCACTGGGACAAGAAGAGCAAACACTGCTAACTTCAAATGCTGTGTAGGCTGTTCCCTAGTGATTGAATAACATTCAGGGCTGCTCAGGGATCATCATATATCGCCTAATGGCAATGAGTAAAGTAGTAAACAGGACCAGGAGTTCTCAAAAAAGCTTCCTAACATTTCATTTTAGCTTGAATTTAGCCTTCTACTCAGCACTGTCTGGCACCAGCTTTGTTACTAAAGTATTGATCTCAGAGCTTGAGGCCCCCTGGGTCAATGAGATGGAAATTCACTAAGAGTTTAATGATATTGGCAAAGCCCAAGCTGGCCTTTCAAAGAAACCTGCTGTAATTGCTTTCCATTTCAGGCAAGTCTGATTAGCAGGACTCTCTCCAGGCAGGGTTTGTCTTTGTGGCCTTTAACCTCTACTTCCTGTACATTGTTTCCCACTCTGTTCTCCACATTTTCTCCAGCTTCTCTCTAGAGCATGTAACATATTTCACTAGACCAGGGGAGACCAACTCAATGCCTCCAAAATCACAGTAGGTAGGCCAGTACCTGACATGCATATCTCTGTATGAGGTGGGCTCTCAGAAGCGGCAGAACTGGTCTGTCTCTTCTAGTCCATTTTCCTGGGCTTTCAACACTCAGTTGTTCATCCTGAACTTGTTGACCTTATTAGGGAATTAGACACAGATGAAAATATTCTACTGAAGCCAAAAAGTAGTTGATCATCAGAAGTAGGCCACCCAGAGAGATAGCATCTGCTAAGATGAAGAGAGTCAGTAATCTGAGGATGGTGCTGGAAAGAGGAAATAGCAGAGCCAGAGGTGATTGCTACAGCTAAAATAGAGTTTTCTTTATTTTAAATATCAGACTGCCTGTTGTCCCAGAATCAGGGCAGAGAATTGACATCCCAGAGAGAATGACCTAATGTTGCATAGACATATAACTGTCATAGAAAGAAAGGAGTTATAGATGTCTTTTCTTGGCTTAGTAACCAAGGGGGGAAGGGGGGGTGTCAAACTAAGTGAAATATCACTGAAAAATCTATCACATCAAAAATTCTAAGATTTTGGATTTACGTTCTAAATAAAAGCATGCCTCTTGAAGCACTCACAAACCTTAGACCTCACCACCTTATTCTGCTTTATATTTCCCATTATTCATCACTGTCATACTTTTGTCATACTCAGAAATTAATCTGTCCTATATTTTATTCCCTCGGGCACTGAGAAATCAGATTAGCTCACTAATCTAATAAACTAATCTCTGCTATTATGCTAATAAGATGGAGGTGGAAAACCCATTGGAAGCAACTTGTGCATTTAAAGTAAGGCGCTTGAGAGAAGTCACCAGCCTTTGTTATCCAATCTATTAATGACTTTGATAGTTGAAATTTGAGGCTGATAGAGTAGACAGTTGGGGGCTGCCAACCTTATAGTGCTGCTCAATTACTGCTTAATATTTCCACACAGCTTTAAGTTAGCCTTGAATAAATCCCCACTCTTTTCTGTTTCCTTTCCTCATTATCTCTCTTTTCATGGTATCTGGCCTCTCCTTCCCTAGAAACAGCTCACGGATCAATATTTTGACATATGCATATGCCACATTTTGATATAGAGATTAGAAGACTCAGCTGCCTTATTTTTAACTGTTTGAATAAAATACAGGAAGCTTGTTGTGAACTTTATTTAATGAGTATGGAGCTGATACAACCAAATGAGGTTGTGATTTGGGAGCCTAATTTGGGTTGATGTAGAAGCAAACTTTATGGCAGGTAGGAAAGAGAGAAGGCTATACAAGTCGTGCATATACCTGTGGGGATGGTTGAGTGCTTACTTGATTCTTTGTGACCAAAGTAATTGCTTATAATAAATGGTCGGTTGAGATTTTTCCTAATTATTTGTCCATGTTAGTCAGTGAATTACACATTGGAGACCTGATGTTCCAAAACTCATGCCACAAAGCAGAGTGTCAGAGAAGAACCAGTTTGTCCAAGGGAAAAAAAGAGGGCATTTTCCCTGTAAAGGAAAACTAACTCCGTGCCAGGGACCTGTACAGCCTGGCCTCTTATAGAATACATGGGTCTAAAATGGCCACACACTAGTGATTTGCAGGGTTGTGGTGATTTTGTTTATTTGGTTTCTTAATCCAAACATGAGCCTCCAGGCAAGATGGCATTTAACCTTGCCCTCACTGAAGCGCAAACTCGAGGTTACTTCTCCTGATAGCCATTGCAGGCTCCCACAACAAATCCTTAAATTGGGGGATGGGTTCTGCTTTCTAAAAACATTAGGAAAGAGTTCAGCACAGTCATGTATCATGGGAGAAAAAAGGGCTCCTGGAACTCAATCAGCCTTTAGGAGGTTTGGAAGAATTAAAGAGGGGCCAGCCCCGTGGCTGAGTGGTTAAGTTCGCATGCCCCGCTTCGGTGGCCCAGGGTTTCGGCAGTTCGGATCCTGGGCACGGATATGGAGGCGGCATCCTTCATGTCCACATGCCACAACTAGAAGGACCCACAACTGAAATATGTAATTATGTTCTGGGGGAATTGAGGGAGAAAAAGCAGGGGGAAAAAAAGAAGATTGGCAACAGTTGTTAGCTCAGGTGCCAATGTTTAAAAAATAACAATTTAAAAAGAGAATTAAAGAGAAGGGAGGAGTAGCGAACATCTTTTACTAGCACTTGACTATTAGTAGATGATCTTACCTGCCTGGAAGTATTAGCTCTCTAATCTCTGTTCTGTATCTAAATCTGCTTCCCTTCTAAATCTTTTCTACCACTAAGAGGAAGTCAGTCTTCTGATTTCATGATTTGCGTTTGTAATTTCCAGGGAAAGATTTCATTGATCTATAATATTATTGGAGATTTGTCTAATTTGCCAATAAATAGTTTTTCCTTATTATCCAATCCAGTTTCCGACTCCCTATTGGCATCAAGAATAAATTTGAGACTCAAATTGGCAATATTACTTTAGTGACCCAGGATCATGGCCT